TATAGCTATATGCATAATACAAAAGACAATTTATCATATTTAAAACCATAAGGCATATGATATATGAGATAGGTAGGTATGTACCATGTGGTAGGGTACAATATGAATGAGAAAAAAAACGTGCGTCAGTGATAGGCTATGAAATGAAGATTTTTTTTTTTTTTTTTTATATGTAAAATTATATAGGACATTATATAGGCAATGTCATCGATCGTCATTTCAAGCCAACTGGACGCCGTCGTTTTTTTTCGATTATATGAGACATAAGTGTCAGCCTTCCTAGACCACAGACCTTTATATTATACTTCTAGCACAAGGACATATAGGCAAGCCTTAGGTTGGTGTTTAAGCGTGTAGGTGTGAATCGGCCATGGTTGATCCTGGTCCGGAGATAGAAACAATAATAAGAATATTTATTACATAAACCACACTTAATCTGATGATTTCCTATGCATTCAATACCAAGTTCAATACATCGGATTGTAATAAGCATATTGGCCATACTTTTCATATACATGAAAATCGTATCAATCGTGTATCACATAGCACATTTAAGAGGACTGATCCTATAAAGGCATTTAATTTTTGTTTTCTATTTAATATTTTTTTTTTTTTTTTTTTTTTTATTTTATTATTGTATATATTAAGCTCCTGGATAAAAAACCTGCTTAGACAGAACATGGGTATTTTCGAATACTTTATTTAGAAGATCTTGTCAGGACAATGATATAAGATTACAGAAAAATACCTGACGTAAGTCAAAAATGTATAAATCTTCAGGATACTCCTTTCGGGACAATTTAAGAAAAGATGCAAGCGTAAACTAACAGTAAATCTGAAGCATTAAAAGCATAAAGGTAAATACATGTATCCATACATGATGTGCAGGCAAGTCCGTAAATATTATAAATTTAAATTGTTTCAAAGAAACAAACGTCACAACTTATTCTGCCAAATGACAAATAGTAACAACAATCTATTTTACTAAAGCCGTGTTGACCGGTGAAACTCTTCAAATAACATCACAAAATCGCACCCAGAGCCCCTGAAATGCCAACTCCTAGTAATACACCTGTTCTATTATAATATTTTTTTAAGTAATTATTTATGTGTATATATATTTCTCTAGATTAAAATATTTTAATCAGTCTGAGAATCAATATTGAATTTATTTTTAAAAAAGACGATAAAATAAAGAAAAAATGATTTAAGTTAGTATGTCAAAATAATAAGTTAAGGTATTTTTAGAAACCTGTATTTTTAAATGTGCAAAGGCTGATAGAATTTCAAAATATCTTTTCAAACTAAAAAAATGTACGATCTGAATTTAATTGTTTCAAATATAACCAGAAAAAAAATATCTTATCTTAAAGTGTGCAGCTAGTGGTTGCAATACTCATGGCTGTATTGCTAAAAAACATTTTAATTTATTAAAATTAAAAATTACTGTTTTTTTTTTATCTCCGTTAAAAAGTACTTTATAAAAAAAAGATTCCAATTGTCAAGAAAAATAATAAAGTAAGGGAAAATTCCTGAAATTACAGAAATTTTTTTTCACTTATTCCCAGATTATGTTAATGAAAGTGAAAGTAAAGACTATGGAGAGCTTATTCGTAGTAAAGTAATAGTTACATTTAGTTATTTCTGTGTATAGCAAGACTTACCTGTAACCGAACCCCTAAAGTAGTTAATTAATAATGTTACATATAATTAAGGTATTTCTTGCCTGAGTGCCTTGAGACAAAACCGCGGTAAAATATAAGAACAAAATATGTGAGCAAAGGAATTCATAAAAACCGTAAATATTAAATGTTGATTAAAACAAATTAACATATAAATATAGTATAAATACTCGTAAAATCAAAAAAAAACAGCTTGGAAGAGCAGCAATTTTTTTTCAAATTGTATAGTACTGTATGATCGAAAAAAAAACGGCTCGCAGTTAGCTTGTTAATGATTATCGATGACATTCCCCATATAATTTTTATTTTAAATATAAAAATGGACAGGCAATCATTAATTTCAATAGCCGACCACTGGTGAACCATGTGTGTATTAATTCTATTACTAATATGGCACCCAATCACTTTTTTGACAATAATATATAAAAAAAAAAAGAAAAAAAAAAAAAAAAAAAAAAAAAAAAAAAAAAATTTATTTCATTACAGGCCATAGGCACAAACGGTCATTTTTACTCCGAATCAGGACAATCTATTTTTCAAACGTCAACAAATATTTTTTAAAGAGCGAATGTGTCAAACTTTGGCAAATAAATATAACAGATTTAAAAGAATAACTTGTTAACTAATTAATACCGTATGATCAAAAAAACGAGCGCCAGCGATGTCTATGAAATGACAATCGAAGACATTATCCACATATAAATTTACATATAAAAAAAGCGATTTTCATTCATAAAGCATCGCTGAGGCCGTTTTTATTCGATCATACGGTAACTTAATCTGAGAACTATGGTTTACACTCGTTTGAATTTGACACTTTTATATCAGTTTAATTAATAATATTTGTTTTTTTTTTTTTTTTTTTTTTTTTTTTTATTTATTTTTATGCCTAGGCATGTAAAATTACTTTTATTTTATCAATCACGGCTCTTCTGGATTTCTGTCGCCAAATTAATACCTTTTGTTGCGTTTGAAAAAAAAAAAATCATTTATTTGTAAGTTTTATAACATATCTAATTAAATTGGGCCGAAAGGAGTCAGTTCTGAACACACATCCGTGGTTCTGAATCATTCTTAAATTTAATTTTTAAAAAAAAGAACATAAAGTCTAAAAAAAAAAAAATTAAAGTTTTTTTTTATATTTTTTAATTCTAGTTTGTAATTAGATATTTTTAAGAAAACCTGTATATTTATTTAATTGGAAAAACTTTTTTTTTTTTTTTTTTTTTTTTTTTTTTTTTTTTTTAGTTTAATTAATTTTTACTCTAATTGCTAAGAAACGAATATTACAAAAATTAAGTTATAAAGTGAGTTTAGTTATATTAAAATTCACCAATATTGTCAAAGAAAAAATTTATTGTAGGTTCTCTAAATGATATTTTTGGATTTGCTTTTTATGATGTCAGATCATTTCTATGAAAAATACACTAGATAGAATACATTAGATTTTATTAAAGACGCTGATGGGTAACTAAAACATTGACTAATAAACCTTTTCCATTTTAATATAAGAGGTCACGACATATTCCCCTTGGAATCTTTGTGAAGGTGTAAGGGTGTATAATAAATTAACCTTGTTTATAATAAAAACATAAAACATTTAATTTGTGAGTTAAATAAACGCCTGCCCTCGCCTGTCATAGGCAACCAAAATACATATAAAAAAATCTTGTAACTTCAGATGAACTTTAGTAATTATGTCAATAAACTCTTAATTGGGCCTCGTAGTCTATTATACATTAATGTAGCAAATATATTATACAGTAGAATATAGTTTAATCAATAGATTAATATTTTAATCTAAAGCATTATAAGTAATAAAACTATTTGTGCCCATTTATCATAAGAGGTCAAGAAATATACTCTTGGTAGTACACAAAAAATGTAAGGGGTGTAAATAAAATGTATAATCATTGATTTTTTATAATATAAACTATAAAAATTAAAAAAAAAAAAAAAGAGAATAAAAAACAAACAATGCAAATTATAAACATTTTAGAAATAGGTATAGGGCAACCAAGAACACCACAAGAAAAATAATTTAGATAAAACTTGTAATTATTATTAAATATGGTCATAAAGGTCCTTAATTAAGTCCTAGTCTAATTTATTTTATAATTTACAATAAGATAAATACCTTACACTCTTTTTCCGATACAGAAAATTTTGTTAATTGCTTCTTGAAAATGCGACAACCTGACAACGCTGTTTTTAACGTTCGGGACGCGTTCGGGTGGACGACTCTACCCGAACAACTGGTAGGACAGATGCTCATTAGGACAGATGTGGTTCTCCCTGTGTGTCAACTTGACTGTGTGCCAAAAAAAGCCATCTCGAAACAAGTTGTTTGTGAATTTGTACGTTCGGCATCATTCGGGTGAAAATCGAAACCTTCGGCTCGATACGTTTGCGTTTTGTACGTACGTAAAGGCACGTAAAGATACGTATCACGTATCCGTAAACGCAAGTGAATTTCTCACTGCGCAAGCGTACATGTCAAACGATACGTTTACGTCTACGTCTTTGGCCGTGCTTTAACTGTCTATTTCCCAGTCAACTAGACGCCATTTTTTTTTCGATCATACGGTATAAAATACTACTAATTTTTATCTCGATTATAGCGAAAAAGATAATTCGAATTAGTTAGTTTTAATTTACCATCGAATTAGTCGTATTATTTAATTCGAATTTTCCCAACACTAGAAAATATAACCTTATCTCAACAGTGGGTATTGTGAGTGTAAGTGGGTAACTGACAACTCAGTAACGTGTCAGTAACTGTAAACAAAAAAAGTAAAGATCGTGTTCTTTCGGTGTTCTTTCACTCATTAAACAAATGAATAAACTGAAAACTGAAGTGAACTAAAAACTCGCTTTCACTAAAATCACATCACTTCCCGATTGCAATCAGAACAAAAGAATACTTCTATAATTGGACGATTTGCAGTTTTTTCGATAACTACCTAGTTATTTCTGTTAAATATGACTGATGATAATCAAAAAACTCTTGCTGAATTTATTAAAAATACACACAGAAAGTTGCGAGATGAGGCCAAAATTTTAGGTACAGAACAAGCTTGGAAAAATCATTGTGAAAATAAGCAACACCTAAACAAATATGCAGTTGCAATGAAGAGTTTAGCAGAAAATTTTTGGGATCATAACTGTTCTACAGGCAGCAAAGCTATTTCAAGAATTATATGGACATATGAACATATTAAGAAGTATTTTTCCTGTATAGAAAAGTGTAGAGAAAAGGAATTATGTATTCTTAAACGTCTAAAACTTGCAGAAATGTCTTTGGATAAGAGAAAATTGGACATAAAAAGTAAATTCAAATTATTAGATGTAGGGAGCTGTTACAATCCTTTTAAGAAATTTGAAATATTTGATGTTACTGCTCTTGACATAGCTCCTGCCAGTGAAGATGTTTTAATGTGTGATTTTATACATACTGAGATATCAGACCGATCAGTTATAAAAAGCAATGTGATATTGCAGTTAGAAAAAGAGTCATTTGACATTGTGGTTTTCAGTTTATTACTTGAATATATTCCATGCCCAGACTTACGGTTAAAATGTTGTACAAAGGCATACGAGTTGTTGAAATTTGAAGGAATTTTAATTATAATAACACCAGATTCCAATCATATTGGCTCCAATGCAAAAATTATAAAATCTTGGAAATATGTTCTATCGCAGTATGGATTTAGCAGAGTTTATTATGACAAATTGCCTCATATGCATTGCATGGTATTTCGAAAAACGATGCTCATAGAAATTGCCAGAAGATGGGCTGTGCTTAATAAAAGAATTCATGATATATATGACAAACTTTATATACCACAAGACTTTGTTAAGTTTGCAACTAAAAAAACAGAACTACCCTTAAATGTCATATCTCACTGGTCACAGGACACTTTTTTAACTGATATTTGTTTAGAAGACAGTGATATTTAGATAAAGAAGTTTTTATATCAAGTTCTTGTTTCATTCTACCATACTCGTATAATAGAACTAGTAGGTATCTAATATGACTATTATAATAGTAGTCAGCTAAGCTAGAGATTTTCTAATTATTTTAAGCGTTTATTTGTAAGGTTTAGGTATTTCAAAGTTCCATTGTTATTTGGTTTATTTTGTTAGAACTTTCTTTTTTTTTGTGCGTTTTAAGTGTAGGTTGTTTATTCTGTTATAATCTGCTAATGTTTACTAGATTTAAAAATTAAATTCAAATACTTCTATTTATGAAAATACTCATATATGATACTTTAATAGAGAACAACGGCATACGGTCGAGTCGGCCGCTTCTGGCACGTATACGTAGACGTAAAGAATCTTTTACGTGTATAAAAAATAGAAAATATAAGAAATGCGGGTAATGGTGCGGATCCGGTGGGTGACTTTGAAACGAGTTTTTGCTGCATATAGTTACAGACACTACGCATGCGCACATCTCCGATGTTGCCAGATTGTGAGTTATTTTGGAATTATTTTCAGTAGAAAACAAATATGTGCTTTTCAGTGTTTTTTTGTCAATATATACCGTATGATCAAAAAAACGGCGTCCAGTTGTCTGGGAAATGACGATTGGGGACATTTCCATAAAATGACAGCGATCTTCATTTCATAGTCATTGCTGACGCTATTTTTTTTTCAATCATAGTACGCGGTATATTATTTTAATATTTCGCACAACACGTGAACGCTTATTATGTATTTTCAGTCAATAAAATTATATAGAAATAAAATCCTAGATTCCTATCTAGATTATTATGCTACGTTTAAAAAGTGCTTTATTAAAAATTCGGGAAATTAAAAGGGATGTGTCCAAATTTTTTATTATTTTTTTATTTTTAAATGCTGTAGCTCCATGTCATGTTCATAATAGATTTTTTTTAACATTCCATCAAAACTACGGATATTTAAAAACTATGCTTGATATTTTTAAGAAATTATGATACAAACATTAATTATAATCAAAGTATATTATATTAGTAACATTATATAATAGGTAAAATGTTACCTCTATCTCCGATTGACGTTTATTGTTCTGTAATAAGACCCGTCAAGCCCCGTTCTCAGAACTGCGACTGTCGCCAGCGACACGACAAAAGAACCAATCAGATTTGTACAAAATTCAAACAGCTGTCAATTTTAAATTTAGTACAGCTCCCATTGGTCGTTTGAAGTGTCAATCAGTGTCGCTGTCGACACGACGCAGTTCTGAGAACGGGGCTTCATGGTAGTACTTCAAAACATCAATACATGCATATAATCAAAAATATTGTTGCCTGTAAATAACTAGAAATTAAATAACTTGAAAGAAATAAAATAATTCTAATAAGTTTAAAACCATTAAGAAAAAATCCGTAAATGATAAATTTTAATTCTAATGTAAACATATAAATAAATGTTATTATTATTACAATTTTATATATTATAATACTTTCATTTCACAATCTTCATTATCCTTCTTACCTTAATTTTGGATATCAAGATAAATCTGAAATTATAGAATTTGTATTATTATCCTTTTATTATTGATTAACACGCAAAAAAAAATTTTCAATAATAATGAATTGCAAATAATTCGAAAATAAACTGCAATTTGGCAACATCGACGATGTGCGCTTGCGTAGTATCGATGATCAAAAGCAGCAAATATGGGCTTCAAGGTCAGCCACCGGATCCACACCTTTACCGAAATGCGCATGCGTACGTAAAGGTATACGTGTTTGTAAGGGTGCAGCCACACTATCCTAAAAACGGCGTATCGGCGTAACGGCGTAATGACCTTGAATAGATTTCCAGTAATTCTATTGGCTGAAACATTCATCTGTCAGAAATTTTAGAGGTGGCGGTATTCGTCCTACGGGGTATTTGTCCGGGGACACCACATACACCCGAAAGTGCAGTCGCCCGACTCAGTCGGCGAAAAACGATCCTATCCGACTCAGACCGATCTCCCTTCCCGATCTCTTGCCGATCTCCAATTCACGGTTTATTAGGAATGGGCGTTTATATCGATAAAAATTTGACTAATAAAAGTAAAATGCAAAATGAAATGTATTTTGGCCATTTTTTAACTAATGTGCCTGATCAGTTTTTCAATTTTATTTTATATAAAAGATAAAATAGATCACCAATTTCAATTAAATAAATATCTTACATTATTTAAGTGTATTCGGGCATTGTTTTCGGACATTCGACAATTCTTTTTTATTGGAAAAAAATTTTCAACTTTTCAAATAAATTTTTCCCGAAAAATCCTTTATAGATGTGTTTCTGGGGTCGAAATAGACTACCTCTAAAAATATTTGCAGTTATTTAAGACTCACCCGGTATGTAAGTATTTTTGTTATTTTTTTACAACCGAGAAACAAACAAATGAAAAAAAGATCAAGTTAGAAAATATATAACCATGAATTTTTTTTTCTATATAGAACATAAACAAATATAGAGCTGTTTACAGGGAGTTTTGTCGCAACATGATTAAATATCTCCAAAAAATCCTATATGGGTATTTCTCCACTGCAAGAAAATCTACAAAATAAAATAGTTACTTTTTGTAAACACTCCTGCGTTAAACCCAAACGGAAACTACTTGTCAGAAGTTAGGTTTACAGTTATACAAATTTGCATAACAAACAAAAAAATGCTTAACGTTTCGGAAAGTTTATCTCTTTCCGTCGTCGGAAGCACAAAATACAAAGAATAAAGAAAAAAACTATTTAAAATATTTATGACTAAATATCTGTGTTGGGCTGGTTATATAGTGGACTATATTTTTTAATAGTTAGTTATTAATGTTTATATAAGAAATAACAATTGTTTTAATAAATCAAAGAAATGAAAATTCCTGCGGCTTGTTGGGCTGGTGACAAGAAGGTGGCAAGTGACAGTAACAGGGACAGGTTCCCCCTCCGTCGCGTCGGATGGCCGGACAACGTCAAGCTCCGTTCTCAGAACGACGTCGTGTTGCTGGCGACACTGTTTGACATTTCAAACAACCAATGGGAGCTGTACTAAATTTAAAATTGACAGCTGTTTGAATTTTGTACAAACCTCATTGGTTCTTTTGACGTGTAGCTGGCGACAATCGCTGTTCTGAGAACGGGGCTTCAGGCGCAGAGATAAAGGGTCAGGAGGGGTGGTTGCAGCATTTAGATGGAGCAATTGTTGCACCATTTAGAAACTTGAGCAATCGCAGCATTTAGAACCTTGAGCCAAAACAATCTGCGTGCTTTCGCACTTCGCACCCGGCAGAAATTAAATATAAAAATTCAACAACCAAACCAAACTAAGGTTAAGATAGGCCAAGTCATATACAATTCTAGATACCATATGGTCGAAAAAAAAACGACGTCAGAGATGGAAATGAAAATCGCTGTTATTTTGTATGTCAATATCAGTCGTACCAAAGTTCATGGTACGAATGGTTGTCGTCTCGGCGCACTCAGTGATGAGGTGTACTGGTGTTTCCCCATTTTCCCCACAGAATCTGCATTCGCCGTTTCTTCTTAGTTTCAATCTACTGAGGTGTTCATTGAGGAGCCAGTGTCCTGTTAAAAACCCCGTGACAACCCGAAGATTGTTCTTACTTAAACCCAGGAAGATCTGTGATTTTTCTTGATCATAAGCCCTCACAAACTTCTTCGAGTGTCCTGTAGACTTTGCAAGATTCCCATTTCAGGTTGCGGACGGAATCTTCCAAGTTTTTGAGTTCCGCCTTGAGTATGTTACCACTTGGAAAGCAGAACGGTTCTGTCCAGTTCAGTGGAGTGTTCGTTCCTTTTCTAGCTAGATCATTTGCTTTTTCATTGCCTTCTATTACCTTGGTGAGCAGGCAACCCAGAGTAAGAGGACTTCTGGTTTTTTTGCCTAATTTATTCAGCGTCTCTATGCATTCTTTGAACAACTTCGAATTGGTGTTTACTGAGTTGGTCGCTTAACGCTGCTTGACTATCATGATAGTGGCTTATTTCTTGTTTCCGATATTCTATCTAGATAAGTTGTACGCATCTCTCGATAGGTTAGATTTCTGCCTGTAGGATACTAGGGAAAGTTGGCCATTGTTCGGAATATTTAGTTCTCGACCCAAATACTCCGATCCCTGTTCCCGTATTGGTTTTGGAAGCATCAGTATACCAAGTTATTGTACGGTCCATGCAGAGCAAACGTTTCTCTCTTCCAATCCTTTTTATTGCTTAATACTACTTTAGATGTTTTCCAAAGTCTGTACGTTCTTGGCATATCGTCCACTGGAGTGCAGGAGTGGTATTTTCCTTTTGAAGGTGTATCAAGCTCCTGAGCTGACAATTCTCCCAGTACTAATTCCGTTAGTGACCATTCTAATCATTGTCATATTGGCATATCTACCCAATGACAATGTGCAGTGGTTTTAGATCTAGAATGACCTCCGTTTCTGCTGTTGACAGGTTTATGTCTCCTGTGATGCAAACGCTTGCTAGTCTCTGGACTTTGCACACGTTTAGCCTTGCCGTCCGATGCTCTAGTTTTGTGTACAAGGCACTGCTCCATAAAGTAATCATGGGTCTTCACTAATCATGGTATACATCCAGCGCAAAATGTTAGGGGGACAGCCCCATCTATTTCCCGCCAGTCTTCTGTTGCATATCATGAGAGCCTTGGTGGCTTTGCTGGTAATGTTTCTTAATATGCCTGTTCCACAGAAATTTACTGTCCAGGATTATTCCCAGATACTTAACTTCTTGTGATGCGCAGTATTTCTTTTTCATCTAGTTGGATTCTTTCAAGTTTCAGGCTTCGCTTTCTGGAGAATGGCACATTTACCTCTATTTTACTAATTTACTAAAAAAAACAAAAAAAAAAAAATAAGATTTTAGTTAAATATTTTATTAAAAAAAAAAAAAAATTCTCATTAAATATCGATTTTAGGTATAGGAAGTGCTTATTAAATACAAACAAAAAGATTAAACCAAACCTTGTTCGTTTAT